ATAGACAGTGTAATCAAAGGACTCAACGGTATGCTTGCATATCAAGATGACGTCCTCATTTTTGGCCTTAATAAGAAAAAACACGATGGCCGTCTTACGCAGCTACTGGAAAGATTTACCGCCAGGAATGTGGCTATCAAGTCGTCCAAATGTGTGTTTGATGTGAGTCAGTTGTAATTTCTAGGATTCACAGTTGATTCCCGTGGATACCGTCCCGATACAACACATTGACCAACATTGAATCTCCAACGGATCAAACGCATTTGAGATACGTGATGGGATGCTTACAGTACCATTCCCGACTTATCCTGAACTACGAGGGTGCATTCGCTTTTCCTTGCTGAATGTTAAGACGCTTGGGAATGGTCGGTGGGATGTGAAGATATCTTACGTGGTTTAATTCGCTGCGTTACTGCTCGTCTTGTTTTGGCTCCGTTTTCACCATCAAAACCTACCTTTTAGGATTGCGGTTTACCATCATCACTGATCACCAAGTGCTACCGTTCCTCTTCAACCCCAACAAGTCCATCGCTTATTCCACTACTGCTATGCTATAGAGGTGGATCATCGCCCTAGCCGCATACAACTAGGACATCCAACATCGTCCAGGAAAGACAATCCCGCAGGCTGATTTCCTCTCTTGCTACTCACGACTTTCTGAGGCCGAACAGTGTCATTTCATCTCTCCAGCATCACCAGTGTCTCGGGAATCTTTAAGCAAATCTACCAAACAGTACTACTAAATCAAACTCTCAGCAATCAAGAAAGGGTGGTCACCAGAGGTAAAGAGAAAGTATCCTCAATTCTTTGCTCATCGTGAGGAGTTGTCAGTACAATTGGATGGTATATTGTGTCGCGACGATCGATTGATAATCCCACCGCCACTACGGAAGACGGTACTAAATGAACTGCATAAAGGACATATGGGAGTTGAGAAGATAAAAACATTGGCTCGACAGATGTGTTGGTGGCCGGATTTGGACGCAGACATTTACGCAACAGCCAAGAACTCTGAGTCATGTTTACATAAACTACGAACAAGGCCGAAAAACTGAACACCATCGCCGGAAAGTTACATATAATGACAAAGGGTTCATTTGGATTTCGGTGGTCCATTCCTGAACCGGTATGATACCGTTGTTCGGATAGATTCATACTCCAAGTGGTCAGAGGTATTCTTCACGACTACACTTACCACATCATTTGTGATGCAAGTACTACGGAAATGTTTCGTTGCTAAGGGATTTCACATGTGCTTGTGACGGACAATGGATCTCAGTTCTATGCGACCCAAATGAAGTTTTGGATGGACAGCACTGGTTACCGACATCTTCAAACTGCACCACGTCACCCCTGTTCAAACGGAGCGGCAGAGAATTTAGTCAAAACGGTCAATAGTGCGATTGCGTCTGCCAATCCTAAAACTCTACCTGAATTGAAAACGTTGGTGGATAACTTCCTACTCCAATACCGAAACGCAACACATACAACCACCAAGGAGAGCCCGGCAAAGCTTTTTAAATCCAGACAGTTGCGATCCTCCCTACAGTACCTCGATTCCAGTGAAGTCGTTTACTTCCGTGTCAATGATTTGCGACCCGCCACTGGTAGTCACAAGACAACTGGGTCAAGCCATGGTGGGAATAACCGACTTGAATGATGCTACTGTGCCCAAGCAACACGTGGACCAAACCAAATTTAAACCATCCACGGATCAGTGGCATCAACAGACAAGCGAAAGAGACTATTAGGTGCAAACCCCGTCATAACATCCGAAAGAGCCGCATCAGTCAGATGCGCAAACATAACCAATCAAAACGCAAGGACACCACCAGGAACATTCAGAGCATTCAAAGGACGTGCACTAGCCACCTAAGACGATGCTGTAAGATTATTTTACTCAGCGGAAGACTATCTGATCCTAGCACACGTCGTCTGATCTCATCGTTATTCACTCGATGCCCCCACTTCTTGACTTGACTGACTTGAATCACCTGACCTCAGGTCAGCTGGTACAACCCCGACTGTCATTAACCTGTTTACCTATACTAACATAACAAGGATAGGACCGAGTAACTGAAAAATAGTACAACCTAGTAGTTAAAAAAGAACGTTTAACTTCGCCATGGCCAGGAAGAAGCGAAAAGGGACTTCTTCCGTGACGACACTTCAATTTTCGTAGAGAGAAAATACACCGGTTGCATCTTAAGGGACATAAATAAGGACTTGGAACTAAAATCGCAATCAAACTACAAAATCGTAGGAATCAGGCCACATGCAACGGTTCCTTTATTGTAAGCAACCTGTAGGAGTTGTGCTAACAGTAGTAGCAAGCAAGGAACACGAATCACGGGATACGGATCATTGATTAGCAGTCACGGATGTCACGTAAGCGCTGGATCACACTGGCACGTGCACGTTATATCCCACGTAACCCAGACGCGAGAAAAAGGTCACAGGAGTAATAGGTCGTCTATTCAAAGAAATAAGGGGGATTAAATAATAGGTACAAAACAAGCTCATTGGTAATCCGGGCCTCTGTCAATCGCGTTCTAGTATATCTGTCGTTGTTCCGCTTCCGTCTGGGTTGCATGGGTTCTCATTGGTTGGTACGATCGACCTATGGTATGTAGTCCAGAAGCTGTAACACGCACACGCTTTGCTCACGTCACCCGTGAAGCTTGATCGATCAGAGTTGTCCTAAAATTGTAACGCGTCGCTCCAGGGTATGCGTCAGGCTGAGGTCACCACACAATCACTGCGATATCATTGGCTAAACAGTAATGACCAATCGTGTGCTACTGAACCCACCAGACCTGTTTCAAACAGGTGGACTACGATTGACCCGGAAGGCTGGATCAACGTGAAACTGCATCGAGCAGCCCATTTGCTAGCGTTGTCACGGGGACTAGGATTATCATACAGGAGAAATCGTGAAAATATTGATTCTGGTTATACATTTAATGTGTAGTTCCCATTTCACAGTGCACGCGCACACACACACGGTCCAAACTCTAGGATCGATTTCACGTGACACGTTTATGGGTGTCAAGCGATTGTGTACATTCGTTGTCGTTTAAACTCAGCGTGTGTGACAAAGTGATTCATTTAGTATCATGTGATAATCAGGGCCTGCGTACTGAATGAGGGTCATCACGATCCGAACGGTTCGAATAATGGGCGTGCATGTGCCGGATGATCAATGCATTGTGGACAATCCACGATGTGCGGCGGGGGGAGAAAAAAAACGCGCCGAAAAGGGACACGTATGGTAGACAAACAATCACTGAACGAGAATGCACATTTGGTTTATTTAATCAGCTATGTTTGAAAGACAAGAAAAGATACCTTCCGTGTACATATGTGTGTGTGTGTTCAGTGGAGACTTGGGATTCAAATACCAATCTTTATTATGGGTAAATTACAAAGCTGATGTGCCGTGAATCCCATGGGTTCGGTTGGTAGTACAATTAAGTAACAAGTTATAAAGTTCACTCATCGGTGCTGAAAATTTAGCTGTTTCAATCGTGTTTCCTCGAGCCGTGACTTGAATGAATTGATGGGTGGTGCGCAAACAACTTGAGGTGAAAGAGAGTTCCAGGTATTACAAACGCAGGAGGCTGAAAGATTGACGCCTACAGTCTAGTTGACGCCATTGGAGCAACAGTTTAAAAGGATGTCGTCGGAAGTGATCATTCCAGGGTAGTACTAGTAGAGTACTACACGAGTGGCTATATTGATGTAGTCTTTAATATACGAGGCTCATGTCTCCTTGTATTCGACGATATTCAGACGAATAGAGCCCGAGAATTCGCAGTCTTTCACCGTAGGTCTTAGATTGTAATCCTTTGACCATTGCGGTCTCGGACGTTCGAGTGCCTTTCGGTCGCGAATCAGACATGGATTCCAAGCCTGTATAGTATACTCGGTGTGTGATCTAATGTATGCTGATAGTAAACGGGGCAACAGGTCCGTAAATCCGGTAAATATCATTACTGACTTGTAAAGTCACCTGTTACATTAGGATTTTATCAAACCAATTTGTTTTTCATGTGGTAAATGTATAATATTTTTCAACTCTGAACGTTTTGTTCGCTGTAACTTCTCGAAAGTGTTTTAAATTCATCTCATTGGGTGCATAAAGCCTTCCTGGACTTGACTTGACTTGAATCACAAGTGGTTGAAGACCCCAAGTTTTCCATTT